CCTGCGCGGAGCCCCGGGCCCGCGGGGGCGCGGGCAGGGACTGCGGGGCCGCCGGGGGCCGCAGCGGGCCGGGCAGGGTCAGGGCAGCGGGGCGGGCGCGGGCTCTCCAGGAAGCGCCTCCAGCGCCGCCGCGACTTTCTCGGCTTTTTGAAAAAGAGGAAGGGAAGGCAGGCAACTCCGACAGCCGAAGGAGCCTTGCCCTACGCCCAGGCTCCCACCCGTCTTCCAAAGCTGCTGTCTGCGACCCCCTCTCCCGTGGGTCGCTGTGCGCCTCCAGCCGCTTCTCTTTAAAAGGGAAGCGGGAACTCCACCCAACCCCCATCTCTCTCTCCCTCTCTCTCTCTCTCTCTCTCTTTTTTCCCCGTCTGGAATTTCCAACCCAGGACTAACTCGTCTGATTTCTCCAGTCTCCCCTGCTGCTTTTTTTCTTCCTCTTTTCTCTCCCTAACACTCCCATCCCAAATTCTAAGCTGCACTTTCTGGAAGGCATTAGCCACATTTTAAGAACCTTTAAAGAGGATGGGGAGCGAACAAGACGGAATTCAAATCCTAACAGCTGACAAAATGTCTGTTCTTCCAACGTCTTTGGTTCATACATTTATTCTAATGACACCACCACCACCACCAAAAACCAACAGAGATATAACCAATGTCCACCTTCAGCAAAAAAGATCCCCAAATTTCACACACCACTTGCTGGTCTCCCCCCTTTTCACTCAACTAAACCACATCTGAAATTTTTAAAAATAATTTAAAATTGTAGACTCACTAGCCTATCTCAATAGTATCTTTGTCAACTGGCTGTTACACATTAAAGTTTAGAATAAACCCTTAAAAAATAAGCCTTAAAAGTACCCAAACACATACAAAAGGATTCAAATGACCTATATTAAGGTAATTTAAAAAGATTAGAAGCTCAGAACCCTCGAATCAAGATTCTTCCAATGGCTAATGTCATGTATTTCATCTCTCAAACATAATTATAATAATGTTTTGCTCCTTTTCCACCAAAAGCTGTGCCATTAAAACTTTACATTTGGAACAGTTAACTATACTTTGAATAAATTAGTGATGGGAATTACAATTCTTCCCCTTCTTTCCCCCAAGGTTCTCCATCTGAGAAAGCATTAGAGTAAAATTTCATCCTTCTACTCTCGGTCAGAAAATAAAGGGTTCTAGGAACCTACCACTCTTCCAATGGACAAATACCACTGTCCTTTAGGAAAGCATCTTGAAATACTGTGCACTAAAGGACAACAGATTCTCTAGCAGTGAAGAAAACATAATTTATGAATTTGTAAGATCTACTTTCTAGGTGGAAACTAAAATGTTGAGTGAATTGATTTCCACTTGCCCTCCAAACAGTGCAGAAAAATGTTAAGAATCAACCATTTTAAAATTTATTTAAAGGCAAAAAAACTAACCTATTATTACTAAGAAAACCTTTTACCGAAAGTACCATAAACTGTTTCTACTTTAATCTTAACTGGGTGAATACAGGTCAGATGTATCTTTCAACTATAACCACATAAGTAAAAGTGCCTGAAAATCCTCCCACTCTAGTACTTTTTACTCCTTTGTTGTTTTTTTAAGACATTCCCTTGCTTCTTAACCCCCTTACTATAATTCATTTTCAGCCCCTCAGAACAATTTTCATTAAAGACAAGTCCATTTCTGAAGGCAAAAATCTTTTTGCTTGTTTTGAAAACGTTCAGTGATCCAATTACTTCAGAGCAAATCACTTAAAATTAAAAATACTATTTTTGCCACTTACAAGACATCCCTTCACATAGATTTTCCAAAACTGCCAACTTTAGGAAATTAGACTGTAAAATCTGAATAAAGTTTAAGCCCTTTCTGAGAGTTCTCACACTTCTATGGCTCTGACACCAATTTCTTTTTTTTTTAATACTTGGAAAATCAAGGTAAAGTGTTTAGCCCACCTCATTTTAAGTCAGCTTAGAGAAAAGAACAACCATTAACCTGCCTAAGAAAATCAGTCTTTTAAGTCGAACACATTTCATGCAGAGAAATGCAGTACATCTCTTGCATTTTTTTCTTAACAGCAACACCTTTTATTTTGATGACAGCAGTTGACAGTAGGTATGCTATCTTTAGGTCACATTCCTCTAGAAAAAGGCACACACAGTGGCAAATGAAATACAAGCTTAATTCCTTTAAAAAGCAAGGCAATTCTCAAAATAAACAAGTCTAAAATGGGACCCCCCCCTTACCTTAACTACTCTTATGTCTCTCAAAATAAAACACATGTACAAACCTCTTCCACAACTGTTTTAAAAATGCTTTAGGCTTTTCTCCTTTGTCCTAATATTTGACAGTGAATATATACAAATTCTCAACAAAAAGCCAAAACTGTTAGCCAAAATTCCAACGCTGTCTAAGAGAGGGTTTGGGAAGGTGGAAGAAATTTAGTATCATCCATTTTAAAATTTCAAATTAATGTTTTCACTTTAAATGCATGGTGCTCAGTCTCTTGGGTTCTTAAAAAGGTACAAATAGTGTATCTATCAAATAGATACAAAGTTAGAACAAAATTAATACTTCAAAAATCAGAGGATGCTAAAATAACTGCTGTAATATTACTTTTTTGTTTGATTCCCCCCTCTAAGAAACAAAAAACAACCAAACAAAAACCAGGAACACTTAGGTTGTTAGATTTTTATGAATCTCTTAGAAATGTTTAAAGTCGTAACTCATTTGGAACTGAGTGCATCAGGAAGTTACTTCTTTTCTATTTTTTTAAACAGTGGAAACAAGAGTATATACATACAAAATACATATGCACAGTCATTCATTTTGCTTAAAATGTATTAGTCATATTTAATTAACTAGTTCCTGTTCTATACATCCATGAGATTGAAAAAGCCAGTAACAGACCAACTGAACAGTTTTCAGACAGACTAAAAACACATACCACAAAATGCTTCCTTCAAAGAACACAAAATGATAGAGCAAACTTACTTCATAAAAACAAACTCTTTTTTTAAACCCTAAAACTTCAAAAATTGATTCACTCTAGAAAAATGAAGTGCCTTCTCAACCACCCCACAAACACACACACACACACACACACACACAAAACTGACTCTGTGTTTGTGCTCAAAAAATTATTTCAGGGAAGGGGAGAACACACAAAAGATGGAATCTAATATGGATGTGGAAAGGAAGATTTTGTACCCACTCTTCTCACAAACCCCACCCCTTCCCAACTCAAAAGCGCCCTAAGTAATGCATTTTGGAGGGAACAAGAAGGAGCCTAAAAATGGCTTGAAAGCAAGCAGATGGCTTAGGGGGAAAAGATCCATAAATACAGAGCACCATGGAAATTAAAATATAAATGTTTTGGGTCCCAACTCATCACATTTTGCTATTTCTCTCGCTTTCACTTCATTCCCTTTAAAATTTAAACCATCCATAAGAGCAAAAGGGAAAAAAAATCCCACGTATGTCAGAATTCCAATTATTCTGGACATTTCTCATCAACATGTTTCAAACACTCAGCTTTCAGTTCAAATATCCACAATCTTCTCAACAAATCTACTGTTGTCAGTTATCTTTCTCTCAGGCCCATCTCCAGGAAATGTTTCAAAATAATAAATAAGACTTTTTTTTCTTCCTTCTGATTTTATTGCCTCTTTACTCCTAACTCTAATTGCCTTTCCAATAAGAGTATTTGAAGTGCTTGAGGTTAAATCACAGGCTCTATAAACATAGTTACAAGCCATATTGATCACCTATAGATACAACAGTTCTAAGTTACTTAAAATATCTTAAGCTAAACCCACTGAACAGATTTTTATCTCACTTAAACTTTACAGTTAAACTTCACAGGCTCAAACAAAACAAAACAAAACAAAAAAACTATACAGAGCCACCCACCTCCACCTTCCCACCCAGAAAAGGCCAGGATTATTCCAAATGCAGCAAGTTTCCAGCTGAAATGAGAGGGAGAACACACCTAGGGAGGGGAGGGGGTAACAAGAGGATCAAAGATTTCCTGGGGGCTGCAACATGAGGGAAAATTCTGCACTGTCAACATGTTTAAATGAGAAAGCAGACAGACTCTGCCCCTATACTTTGCAGCCCAGGGTTCAATGAAAGATCTGAAATCCACCATGAATCAGATTTGGGGATAACATGATAGAGGTACCCCACTTTGCTTAAATGAGAATAGAAAGGTACTGGGACACACACACACACACACACACACACAATCACTCTCTCTCTCTCTCTCTCTCACTATTCATCCAGGGAGTTCTAGACCCTCCAAAGAGCCCCAGCTCACAGCCTGAACACAAAGCTCTCACCCCAGATGGTCCCCTTGTAACAATGGACTGAAGGAGTGGGGGTGGGGGGGCTCGGAAAGGATAGCACAGGCAAAGCATATTCTTTGCAAAATCCAGTTGGGATGGGAGGATGTGTGATGTGAGGGACTAGGGGTAGGTGGCTGAAAAAAAAAATGCCCTTGCCTGTTACAGAAATATACATAAAGCACAAGCAAAAGGGAATTCTTTTGGGGACAGGAACTCATTCCACTTCCCCTTGGATGTGGAAGGGGAACCCCCCGAATCCACTTAAGAATTATGGGATGGGTGGGGGGAATAAAAGAGAAAAGGAGGCCTGCTAGAAGTTGCAGAAATGTCCAGGAGTTGTAACTCTTCAAAGATTTTTAGCTTCCTCACAAAAATGGCCCCCCCCCACACCTTGAACAAATCCACAAGGTTTCTCTCCTATTGATTTTTTCCCTTTTACTTCTCCAAATACCATCTCTCAGCCCACCCCAGCCCCGGCTTATTTTTTACAAGCTGTAAACCACCCATTACAAGATCTTAGCCAATCTTCCCTCCCTGCCCCCAACATCCGGAGTGGGGGGTGGGAAGGCCCGTAATGGGTTTCTTCCACTGGAGACACTATGGACCCCTTAACACAGCCTCTAAGCGCCCCCAGGTTGCCTCCCTTCTCAAAGAGCCCTTTCCTACCTTTGTTTTTTGGGGACTGAGTGTTCAATCTCTAGGCGTTTTCCTTGCAATTCGACTTTCCCTAAAGATTAAAAAAAAAAAGGCAATATAAGAGCTGCAACAGGGGTGTGGGGTGGGAAAAGGACCAAGAGGATAATTCAGGAGTTACTGGGATCTGAGATCTGCCTAGGAATCCAGGCAGTGGGTTCCGTGGCCAGACGCGAAACGGTCGCTCTGGGAATGGTGGAATCTATAAATTCGTTATTGTGTTTTGCTAATTTTCGGTTTGTTGTGTTATCTGAGGCCAGTTGGGTAGTGGATCGCTCTGGGAGCCCGATCTGGGAATGGGGCGACCAGGGCGTTTGTGTGGGCGGGCTGCCTACTCGGCTCCCAGAGCTGGGGAGCTGGGACCGGGAGAGAAAGGGCTCCCCGTTGGTCCCAAAGTGTGTTGCGGGGGAGGGGTGCAGAATGAAACTTTAGTTTTCGGTCGAGCCGCGGGGCAGGGCTCCCGGCGGCGGGGCGCTCACCTGTCGGGGCCGGGGGCGAGCAGAGGCCCTGGGGGAGCGGAGCGGGGCCCCGCGGGCAGGGTCCCCCGCGGCCGCGGCCGCGGCGCGCGCCTCTCGGCCCAGCCTGGGCGTCTCGGGAAGCAGCATGGCGACCCGGCGCCGCCGCCGCCGCCGCCGCCGCCGCGCCACCCCGCTCACGCCCCACTTTCAAATCAAAATGGCTCAAGCCCAGGCCCTGGGCGGGAGGCGGGACCCCCTTCCTCTCCGGCCCTGCCCGAAGGCTGCCGTCCCCACTGGGCACCCGGGAGACCGGGGACGGAGCGGGGACCTCTTCCCCGCCTGGAAAGGCCTAGGGTGGAGGAAAGGGAGCTGGGGGTGTTCGCGCTGGGGGGCTGGGGGGAGGGGGTCCAGCCTCGAATAGGGAGGGGCGGGCATGGAAATAAGGCCCCGACGGGAGCCGCCTGAGTGGGGACCCCCCCACACACTACCAATGGGGCCCCCGCCCCGTCGGCGGGGGGTAGGGGCGGCCTTACTAAAGCCTCCAGCTTCTGCTCTGGGGCTGGGAGGAAGGGGTGAGGGGGGTCCAGGATATTTCCGCGCGAGGGGCGAGAGCGGGGATGGAGGGGGCGTCGAAGGAGGTGGGCGGAGGGTCGATGCCGAGGCCAAGCCCCGCAGGCCGGAGCGGGAGGGGAGTTGGCGGGCAAGGAGAGAAGAGGAGCAGGTCTCCGTTGTTGGGGGATTTCGTTGTGGCTTTTCCGGGGAGGTGGGTGCACTCTTACCGGAGAAAGTTTCGATGGCTTTCATCGCCCAGTGCTCGTCGGGGCAGTCCACGAAGGCATAGCCGGACTTGACCAAGAACTGGCCGCTGTAGGAGATCTTGTGCTCCGCAAACACTTTCTCCAAGTCCGCGGGGGTCACGCTCTCGTTGAGGTTGCCGATGTACAGCTTGTTCATGGTGGCGGTCTCCGGGCGGGACGCGGTCCCTGGCAAGGCCGAGCGGGCGGGCGCGGGCGGCGAGCCTCCTAGGCCGAGAGGCGGGAGGCCGGCGGCAGCAGCCGCAAACTTTCTTTGCACCCCACCCCTGAAGTTGTCCGGAGCCCGCGGCGGGGAGGGCGGCCTGAGGGCGCGCAGAGGTCGCGGGAGAGTTCGGGGAGGCCGGGGAGAAGTGCCCGCGGCGCGCTGGGAGGCGGACGACGCGGCGCTGCTCCTTCCCTTCTGTCCGAAACCCCTCGGAGCGGGCTGGTGTGTCACGTTTCTCCGCGGCCGCCCTGGCGCCGCCTCTAAATAAAATCGACTTGAAAAAAAATGGAGCGGAAAAAAAAAAAAAGGCGAAGCCACGTGGTGAAAGCCCCCACCCACCCTGCTCGGGAAGACCCCCGAAGCCTCTGGGCCCATCGGCCCTCCAGCCCGGCCCAGCCCACCAATCTCCAGCCTGGGGGGGGGGCATTCAACTCAGCCCCCGGGGGAAAACAGGGCGGTGGGGGCTGCGTTCCCGAAGCTCTACTTGCCCCCTCCCCCTTGGCAAGAATCTGGCCCCAAGGGAGGCGCCCCGCCCCCACCCATCCCCCTACCCCGGCCCCGGCTGGGGGAGGGTGGTCGGGCCCAGAATCTCCCACCTCTTTATGGGTAAAACGTAGGGTTATTTTTTTATTCGTGCCGTGGCTGGGGGGAGAGTTTGCCCACCCTACCCCGGTTAACTGCTAGCGACTGACAGGCGGGGGACGGCCGAGATAGACAAAGAGAAGCTGAGGACTCTGGGGTCTTCAGGCGGGGGTCGCGCGAGCCGGTGATTTTAAAAGAAAGGCGCTTTTCCCCTAGATCTTTAAGTGAGGGGTCTCGGCCTTCCCGGCCGCAGCCCTAGGAGACTCCTCCGCCTCCGGGCAATCCAAGACCCAGGGACCCTGCGAGCGCGGGACCGGGAAGCTAGGAACACGGGGGACCGCGGCTGGGAACGAGGGATCCGCAGGAAATCATGTTTCGGGATTCCCACGGGAGAAGGGTGGCTCGCACCCGGCTTCCGCCGCCGAACGAGACCGTCTCGGGGTCTAGGGGGGGACGCGCGGCTCCGGCCCAAGCTGACCCCAGGACAGAGGGAGGGGTGGAGAGGAGGAAGAGGAGTGGTAGCGTGAGCAGACCCGAGCGAACCGAAGGGGGAGGTCTCAGGGAGGGAGTGACCGGGTGGAGATCCGAACGCTCCCCTCCTCCCTCCCTCCCTGACGCGGGGGCAGACAGGTGGAGTCCCCTCCGTCCGCCCCACCCAGGCCGGCGACCGCAGCTTTCCCAGCGCTGGGTTCGGGTCTCGGAACTTTGTTTGGGGTGCAGCGTTCGGATCCCGGCGGGAAGGCGGGAGAGGGGCCGGGGGCGGGGGGCCGAGGGCTGAAGCCCCGCCCACGTCCCCAGGTCAGACCCGCGGGGGGAGGGGGTAATTTCCGCTCGGCGCTCGGGGAAGCGAGGGGCGGGAGCTGCGAGGAGGGGGCGGCGGCCCCTCCCCCCTCCCGTTCCTGGGGAGGGGGAAGCGGATCCGCCCTGGTCCCTTTCCTCGCCTTTGACCAACTCGCTCCGGATCCTCCGGCCCCGGGAGCCCGAGGGACGGACCCGACTGGGCAAGGGGCGACACGTGGGCGGTCGCACCCCGTCTCGGCGGTGGGGGAGGGGGCAGTTCGCCGCGCGTTTCGGAGTCCAGGATAGGCGGCGGAGAGCGGGACGCGCGGTCCACGCGCAACCGGGATCCCGGGCCGAGTGGCGGGCGAGGGCAGCGAGTTCCCAGCGGAGGGGGCTGGGACGGCGCCGGGGGTTGGGGGGTGGCGGAGCGCGCAGCCCGGGTGCCCCGGAGCCCCCCTGGCCCGGGGACCGGGGAAAGAGGGGGTGGACCCCCAGTAATGCCAGACTCTCCCTGAACTGGGCGGAAGCTCGGGTTTTGCTCGGGGTTCTGCGGGTGGGAGAAACAATTTTGTCGGGGGCACGCGTGCTGCGAGGGCAGGTGAGGAAGGGGGTCACTCTCCCTTTCCCCGTCCCCGACCCCATTGTCTCAGTCGCCTGCGGCCCGGGCCGACTCCGCAACACGTGTTGGCTGCACTGATAGGAATGCCTTGGATTTTTTTTTTTCTTGTTATTATTTTTTATTTGCAGTCAGTGAACTGACTCCCGACTTGGGCGCCCCGCTCTTCTGCCAGACGATTTTCTACCGTTCAAAAAGTCGGGAGTTAAAAGACCACACGCCGCACCTTTGTCCCCCTCCCGGTTTTCCCCGCGCGCTGCAAAGAAATGGGGCTTGGGCGTGGGGGGAGGGCTTCCAACTCGGTTTCTCCATCTCCACCACCTTCAAAACCCACTCTCCAAATCCGCGTTTTGTTCTAGCCAGCCACGTGTTTGTCGGATTTGGGGGTTTGTGATTTTTTTCTTTGCATGGGGCGACAGAAAATACTATGAGCTGTTAGTTGCTGAGTAGAAAAAGAATGTTTTCTAGGCAAGAAGGTGGGCGACGTCTGTATCCCACCCCCCCACACCTCCGGCCCGCCCCCCTCCCCCACCGTTTCTGACTCTTAATATTTAGTCAGCTCTTTGACCATAATTTTCACACAAACCAACGAGCTGGAAACGGAGTCTGCCACATAGTAGGCATTCAATAAACATTTTTAAAATGAAAAAACCAGCTAATACAAACTGCAGGGCAAAGAGAATTCAGAGAAAAATTGAGAGTCCAGGGGGGAAAAAAAAAAAAAAAAATCTTGCCAGAATGTGTGTCTGTTGCCCGGGGACTTTCTTGGTGATGTGTGTGGACTTTTGAAAGGGCTCAAAGATGGTCTCAGAAAGGCTGTTGTATTCCTTGGCCTCTTCCTAAAAAGGAGCCCCAATCTCCTGAAATCCTTTCTGTTATATTGGGGAACAAGAAAGAGGGTCCTAGGCAGGGCACTGCAGTTCCCAGAAACTTTTAAGTGCTGTTTCCTTCATTTAATTTAAATCTCTAAGAATTAATAGAAGCACCTCTCAGGGTTTCTCCCTGGGGAACATGCCTACTACTCTATCTCTTTATTCCTAAAACAAAAGCAAGTTACACCCCACAAAAATTTCCATCCAGACCTCTAAACTCCTGTAAAATGCAGTCCACCTTTTCCTATCCTAGATTCAAAGGGAAACAAAAATTGTAAAAGTAATAATTGAATTCAGTTCACTTTTAGATTTTTTTTCCATGTAAAAAATATAAAAGAAATAGACTAGAAGTTAGTTGAATTTAGTTTCTTTTACATGTTTTAAAATGACAGTAGGGGAGAAAATACACATTTGTGAAAATAAAAATTTACCAACTGTTGCTAAATTGAAACTGGTTAGTTCTTTTAAAAAATCAGATGTTTCAGTGAATTCTAATCCTCCCCCCTGCCCCCACCAAGGGCTTCTGTGTATAGTCAGAGGCTGCAAGAACACAAGAGAGCGGAGACAGCTGGGGTGAGATGCAGACCTTTTTAGCCCCCAAATCAGTTTTGCCTCAGTGATCTGGCTATTTTAGGCTGGGGTTGGGGGCACTGAATGATGTTGACTAGTGCTTCATCTCCCCTCTGAGTGAGCCCAGCACTAAAATTAACCTGAGGGTAGGGTTATTTCTTGTCAAGACTCACATTCCTAGGATAGGGATAGGAATGGGCCAACTTGGAATGCCATGCCACAATTTATCATTCCCCTTTTCTGCCTTTTCTTTTGTTATTAAAGACAACTAATAAACATTGTATTTGTTTTCCTTTTTGTTTCTACACAGCTTTTTTGAGAAAGATTGATCATCAGTGCAGTATCAAACTTTGTAAGAATTAAAAATATAGCTGCAGAATAAATTATTTTCTTTAATAACATTTTTATTTTTATTATTTTATTCCACTTATTTACTATCATTGGGATTTTTTTGTTTTGTTTTGTTTTGTTTTGTTTGTTCTCCTCTTCCTCTCTCTCCTTCCTCTTCATTTTTCCTGGAGAAGTGTTTGGTCTAGTTAACAGGATTCAATTCTCTGAATCCAGAAACACTGAAACTTGACTCCATTTTAAAGATGGGATTCTGATCTATTTTCCTTCAATGTGGACATACAAATTCAGAGAGGAAGAAAAAAAAAAAAACCCAAAGACAGAAAATAACTTTTTTAACAAAATGGAAATATGACATGAGAAAATCAGCAATTCCCTTGTCCTAGAGTATTAATTTTATTTTTAAATGTTTCTTCCCAATATTTGTCCATTGCTAATAGTTTGAGATTTTGTCATCTTATTTGTATATCTTCATTTTTCACTTGCTGTTCTACCGTTGCTGCCTCAAAATTTTCATAACTGTCATTTTTCACCAACGTGTAACATTTAATCCAGTAGATGTGAGTTAATCATTAATCGTTATTTTTAGATATATAAGTTACATCGATTTTTTTTAAACTTTTGTAAGTGCTGAATAGTTATTTGGGAACATATAACTTTTTCTTCTCTTAAATTAGCTCATTTGAATAAATCCCCAGAATATAAACTTCTTTTTTAATCTTATATTTGTCTATGACTTCCTATATTAAAAGTTCACATTTTACAAAAGGGAGGACACAAAAAATTGGAAAGCACTTAGGAGGGAAATATATTAAAATAGAACTTTTCTGTGTTTTATTTTCTAATGAATCCTGATCAATTTTGAAATAGAGGTATGGTTTCTATGAAATATAGAAAAAGAAAGAATTCACATTTATTGAGACAGGGCTACTTAGACTTCACAGTTCTTGGAGGAATTTGTTTTTTGTTTGCTCGGGTTTTATTTATTTTGCTGTTGTTTGCTTGTTTTTTCCTTGTTCCTGCCCTGGGATATTTTGTTTCTGCCAGCAACTTGAAGTCTTGGTGTGGTTCTTTTAAATGCCCATAAACTTTGAAGAAGTGTAAATGAGTCCCAATTTAAAAGCACATGAAGCATTTTCTCCTGTCAAATAAATAAGGATAATTATGTGTCTAAGATAACTCATAAAATGTAAGGGAATTGTAAGCAGCAAAGGGAAATTTCCTCCTTCAAATTATTATTGAAAAGTGTTCCATGTTGAAGACCTTAAAAAGAAATGTGTTTAAAAAGACTCAAAGACAAAAAAGAACTTGAAGAACAATCATCTGGTTTTCTATGGGTCACACAGCCTGTGTGACAAAACTGCTCAGTGTTTTGTTTTGACTCAGGTTGGCGATGTAGAAACCTCCAGATAAGGAAGGGAATCGTTTATTTTGTTAACTTTTGGGAAATATATGGCTTCAGACTCAGTTTGTGAGTAAATTAAACTACACCA